ACCTTTACCTTTAGTGCTGCACCCAGCGTTCCATCTGTTGTGCTCAGTCTTGGATGATCATGCCTGTAGCAAACTTCAAGGGAGCAGATTTCTTCTGTATCGGACCTAAAGCCTGCTTGACACCCTTATACATTCCCTTGATGTTACCTGTGTCTGCTGCTGTCTGTCAGACAGTAAGCTATTTTTAAATTATAGTTTTGGCAGGTCACCTGGTGTTAATCCTAAACGTAGAGATGATAAGGTGTTGGCACTGCCGCCTGGGTTCCACAGACCTTCTTTCCTCTCCCCTCCCTTCTGCAGTTGTTGGTTTCATCTGAAGACTAGTTTTGAAGAGTTTCCCAATACTGCAAAGCAGATTTTTGGGAGGGTTCATTTAAGGGTTATGGTTGGGATGGGAGATCACCTACCTGTTTTAATTTAAGTGATGCATCCCTTTCCATTACTGGACATAACCTGCTGGACTATGGCTCTAATTCGGCTTCTTTTTACTTATCTGATAGGCCAGCAAATTGAAGCGTCACATTCGCTCCCATACAGGAGAGCGGCCTTATCACTGTACTCTCTGCAGCTATGCTAGCAGAGATACATACAAGCTGAAAAGACATATGGTGACTCATTCAGGTAAGCAGCCAAATGCAATGATTGCACTAAAGTATTTTGTTTACTGAGTGATGCAGTTCCTGCTTCTGTGATGTTACACTCCGTTGCGTCAGTGAAGGAAGAACTGTTGACTGCTGGGAAACATGAAGGAAGAATAAGGGGCAGCAGTACTGTAGGTACTGAACTTTGATCATACCCTGTATTGATCTTACTATCCTTTAGAGAGCCAGTTGTCCCCCTTCCCCCTGCCTTTTGGACACTCGTTGGAACATACTCTGTTTGTATAAGCAATTGAGGAATAAGCAAATGTTTGGTTTGTCTTTGGCTTCTGCTCGCTTGCATTGGTTGCTTTATTGTTAGGCATCTTTGTTTCTGACTTATGGCAACCCTTTGAACTAAAGGCCTCCCCAAAAGTCCTGTCACAAATAGATCTGCTTGGGTCTTACAAGCTGAAGGCTGTGGGCTTCCTTGATTGAATCTCTCCAACTCACTTGTGGTCTCGTTAGGCATCTTTGTTTCTGACTTATGGCAACCCTTTGAACTAATGGCCTCCCCAAAAGTCCTGTCACAAATAGCTCTGCTTGAGTCTTACAAGCTGAAGGCTGTGGCTTCCTTGATTGAATCTCTCCACCTCACTTGTGGTCTCACCCTTTCCTTACTGCCCGCAGCTTTTGCTCACATTTTTGTCTTCTCCGGTGAGTTGGGAGAGGCCACTTCGGGACGGCAAGATGGCTGTGCCCATGGGGAGAGGAGAATGGTTATGCCAGAGCCCTTAGGGTAGAAGGGAGCAGTCTCTAGAGCGCAACTGGCCAGATACACCCATTTCTTGATTTTGGAGGGTTGCATCCACTCCAGAGTTTTTTTCCTTTAAGACACTGATTTTTTTTAACTTAAAAAGCCATTTAGTTCCCACATTTTAAAAAGTGGGAGGGGGGCACTCAAAATATATCAAAACTGCTCCACATGCCCGAAGGGAACTTTGTTCCCCTCAAAAATTCAACAACTTTTCAAGCCTTTTGGGGGGTTGGGGTACAATTTATCCCTAGTAGGGTCAGATGTGGCCTGCAGGTTTTATGTGGCCCACCCACACGCCAATTGATTATAATACCAGGAAGGACAGGTAGGAGCATGGTTGGCCGATTTCCCCCCTACTCCATTCCCAGGAATTGAAAAGGTAAGATGGATGCTGTCTTCGAAGAGGCTGTGCATGGCAAAGGAGTGTAGAAGAGTTGCAGCATTTTCTCACTTAGCATGAGGTGATTGTTGGCACACCAACCAGCAGCAGCAGTAAAGACTCGAGGAAAATTATATGTATTTATTTTAACAAGTTGAATTGCATCGATGAATCAAATTAAGGCCTGTGGGCATCAGTAGATTTATATGTGTTTGTTCATGTGTTTCTCTAGGGAGCTCAACACTATCTTTCTCCTACTTTTTTCCTCAAAATAGTCTTATCGTCAGGGTGAGGAAAAGTGACTGTCCCAAGGGTTAGCCAGTGAGTTTCGAGGAACAATTAGAACTTTATTTATTTATTTATTTATTTATTTTATTTATATCCCGCCTATCTAGTCCCTCAGGACCACTCTCGGCGGCTTAAGTCATCCAAGCTGTGTCCTATCACTCTAACCACTGTACCATTCTGCTTCTCTGTGTTTTAAGACACTGGGAAGGGAAAATATGCAGTTGATGGTTACCTCAATAGCAAAGCATAGGTCAAAAAAATGTTTATGTGCAGCAATGTCCTATATTTTTGATGGTGCTGTTTTGCTTTTTCATTTACATTTTTTTTTCATTCTAGGTGAAAAGCCCTTTGAATGTCTGATATGTAAAGCCAGGTTCACTCAGGCTGGAACGCTGAAATTCCATATCCTGCACAAACATGAGACAAATGTGCCGAAACACCAGTGTCCGCACTGTCAAACATCTGTCGCCAGGAAGGGGGACTTAAGTAAGTTTCATTCCTTCTTTGTTGGAAAAAAATATATATTCTGCGAAATCAATCAAATGTTGGGATGAGCATCATTATCAGATTTTGACTTGTGAAAGTGCTGTCCTAGATGCATTTTAATTCAGCTCGATTGTTCCCAATCAATAATTAACCTGGACTCTTTGCAACAAATAAACCATGATTCCTCCAGTGTGGGCAGCATGAAATATTTTTGATGCCGCCAGTAAGCCTCATTCCTGCTCCCCATACAAATCAGTTGAACTTAGGATGTTTGTTAATTTTTTTATTGTGTGTTATCAAATAATTTCTGATTTATGACAGCCCTATAAATTAAAAGACTTATTAAATGTTGCCTCCCACAAACTCTCTGTATGTTTTCAGGTTCTGGTATATCCGGAACAGCGTTGGTGATCTACGGTCTTTCCATTCTTGATTTGTAATGGCTTTGTTTGCACCTTTGTGTTTTGTACCATACTTGCCTTTCGTTTCTTCCTTGGTGGTTAACAGTGTGCATCAGTGACTAGATAATATCACAAAACAAAATTGTGCTGTCACATCAAGTCTATTTGTGGCTATTTGATTTAGTCACAGTGTTCATGTGCACACCGTAAGGGAGAAGAGGAGCAAGCCAGAACAGAAATAAACTCAGAGAGCTCTAATACAAAAATTAATTCCATTGGTTCTCTACATTGGACCAGAAAATCAGTGAGGCTTTAGTGGAAGAGATTGCCCAAAATAATGATGGAAAAGAGGGGAAAATGCAGGCTTAAGCTATAAGCAGGTTTTCAAACTGGTATATCTGTTTCAAACAGAAATGCCTTAAAGACTGGCAGATTTTACTTAGGTATAAACTTCCAGAGATTGTAGTCCAGTTCCTCAATGCCAGAGAAAAGAAGTGGATTATAAATTACAAAAGTTAACACTAAAATCAATGCCTAAGTCTTCGAGGTACCACAGCTCTTTTGTTCTTCTACAATAGAACACCCATCCATTGAGTCATTCGTTCCGCAATCTACCGTGGATGCCTGAAACCACTGATACAAGGGAACCCTAGATGCAACATGCAACGGGTTGGGAGAAAGGCCACAATGGGGCACCCTTGTATGCTGGATATAGGACTCTGGAAAACCACAGATCGGTGGAACCACAGATACCAATCCCATGAATACAGAGGTCCTGCGTCATATACAAGTTGCTCCATTGAATTGTGTAAAACTAGAGAAGAGAGTGTGGGAAGGAATTACTGCTCCCCACAACTGATTATTCCCAGAGTTATCGCACTGCCTCCTTGCCCCCCCAGTAGTGTTCCTCGTTCCAGTGAATTCCATTAACTTGAAGTGGAGCAATTAAGGGGGCTGCAACCAGAAACACTGCTTGATATTTCCACCCCTGCAGTAATCAATTCGAGATGGCAAATAATGCATTTGTTTCGCTGACTTGGAAAAAAAAATTAAGAAATGAGGCTGTGATTTGGAAAAAGAAAAGTAAGATTGTGATGTAGGCACTCTCTCTTGTCCCTGGCTTTGGGGACCACAGGTGCTTGAGAACCACGTCTCCCCCAGATGTTTTTCTGACTGCAACTCAATCAGAGGAAGCTTGAAATTTCAAAAAGGAGGCTTTACGACCAGACTTGCCACCACTGTTGAAAATTACCAGATGATCACACAGGAATAAATGTCTTCGTTTTATCGCTTGAGACAAATTACAATGTAGTATACTCCAGAGTAGGTTGGACAGTTCTTTCTGCAAGACTTTTAGGCTGTACTCATTGCCTACATTCATTGGTGAGAATCTACAGGCTTCTGATTTATTTTTGTAACAAAGTGAGAGGGCACCATCTTGTGGTAGTTCTGCATTAAGAGAATGCATGTGACATGCCTACCTCAAAGTTGACGAAAATCTAGTCCTGGCCCTTCAAGAATCAGTGTGGCTCCATTTCAAATCAATGTGACATATAATCAATTATAAGTGCATTCCGTTTACTCATTAGATGAAAGGGTATTTCCATTGTTTTCATACATTACTTCCCCTATCTGGAAATTGAGTCATTGCAACTGGACTTCTTTCTTCTTAGGTTGAAACATTTTGCTATTCATCCAAGCAGCTTCTTCAGTCTGAGGATTGTTGATAGGAGACCCCTGATATATCCTTCCTTTGGTTTCACTTCCCACTAGTGTGAATAGGCTCCTTAGAGGATGATTTATTTTTGTAACAAAGTGAGAGGGCACCATCTTGTGGTGGTTCTGCATTAAGAGAATGCATGTGACATGCCTACCTCAAAGTTGACGAAAATCTAGTCCTGGCCCTTCAAGAACCAGTGTGGCTCCATTTCAAATCAGTGTGACATATAATCAATTATAAGTGCATTCCGTTTACTCATTAGATGAAAGGGTATTTCCATTGTTTTCATACATTACTTCCCCTATCTGGAAATTGAGTCATGGCAACTGGACTTCTTTCTTGAAACATTTTGCTACTCCAAGCAGCTTCTTCAGTCTGAGGAGAGTTGGTAGGAGACCCCTGGTATATCTTTAGATGGTCAAAGGGGTGAGGGATAATTCCACTTCTGCAGTCCTTCTCCACCCATTGTCATGGGTCGTTAACAGTCATTAACATTCTGGTGGGTGTGGTCCCAATATTTCTGGGGACGGATGATCATTCTGGGTCCATTTAAGGAGCCGCATTCTGGTGGGTGTGGTCCCAATATTTCTAGGGAAGGATGATCTTTCTTGGTCCATTTAAATAGCCAATTCAGACCAGGGAGAAGTGAAACCAACGGAAAAAAAGGATATATCAGCCATGTCCTACCAACTCTGCACAGACTGAAGAAGCTACCTGGATGAGTGGCAAAACGTTTCAGCCTAACAGGAAAGAAGTCCAGTTGCCATGACTCAACTTCCAGATAACCACACCTGGATGACTGAGAATCTTTACAGATATATTATTTTCCCCAATACACATTTTTGCATAGTATTTTTGCTATTATATGTTTTTTCTGTGTAATATTCTCTTATTTAATTAATAGCGATATGCTGTCAAGTCCGATTATGGTGACCCCTTTTCTAGATATAAGGGTACTTAGAAGTGGTTTACTGTTCTCTGAGATTGTGCAGCATGGCCAAGGCTACACAGGTTGGCTCTTATCTCAGAAGGCACAGTGGGGAATTGAATTCCAAGCCTCTTTGGCTCTAATGGGTAATTCTCTAAACCATCAAGGGACATGGTGGTGCTTTGGGCTAAACTGCAGAAGCCTGTGCTGTAGGGTCAGAAGACCAGCAGTCATAAGATCAAATCCATGTGACGGAGTGAGCTCCCGTCGCTTTGTCCCAGCTCCTGCCAGCTTAGTGGTTCGAAAGCATGCAAATGCAAGTAGATAAATAGGGACCACCTCGGTGGGAAGGTAAACAGTGTTCCGAATCTAAGTCGCGCTGGCCACGTGACAACGGAAAACTGTCTTCGGACAAAACGCTGGATCTATGGCTTGGAAACGGGGATGAGCACCGCCCCCTAGAGTTGAACACGACTGGACAAAAATCGTCAAGGGGAACCTTTACCTTTACCTAAACCATCAGAATATATGTATATTTTTATGTTTATATTCCCTAAACATTCCGACACGCAGTTTTGAGCTAAGAACTACATCACAAAATTCAGAGAGGTGTGCAGTTTGAAAGATAACATACCATTCTGATTTTCATAATGGTCTGGGAAGTGCACATTAATTTGCTTCCCTGAAAAAATGAGGACCAAACAAAATTGGCCTTTCTTGCAATGGATGTGTAAAAAAGGTGCTGAGAACTGTTGGTAGCCTTAATCAAGAACTGTCTGCATTTCTCTAAGCACTCCTTAGATGCTTTGATCTCTAATAGAGCTTCAGACCTACGTCAAATGTTGCTTCAGACAAATTTCTGTGTGACTGTAGCATTGTGTGGACCGTGTTCTCTAAATCCCAAGATATTTTTACTAATTTGAACTAGTTTTTGTGGCAGTTATTTGCAGTCATTCAAATGTTCCACTTCAGAAGGAACCCCCAAACTCTCCTGATTTTGCTTTTGTCACAGTTTATTCTGGATTATTAATATTTATAGATCCTTGGGACACAGTCCAGGTGTGTTATCACAAGAAGGAAAAAAGATTCTAATAGCCAAAATATTGAAAAAGTGCCCAAGCTGAAAGGGGGGGGAGAACCAGCTTATCCGTGGTTTGCCACAGTCCTATACAACATACAAGGGTGCCCCTCTTTTCCCCACCTCCTCATGGCCGTTGTCTTGCCCCCTTGCATGTTGTATATAAGGTTTCTTTATATCTGCAGTTTCAGGCATCCACAGTAGATTGTGGAACCAATCCCCTGTGGATACGGAGGTCCTAGTGACCATTCTTTCAGTTTCCATCCAGAACAAACCACAAAATCACTTCCCAGCTGTTTTAATATGACCACATCTTGTCAGACAGAGACCTTTACTACGAAGACTGAAATGGAGCATTTCTTAAGCCCCAAGAAAAATCTTCAAGAGGGCAGACCTTGAACAGATTCTTGTTGTTGCCTGAAGTTTCTAGCTAAAACCACCTGAATGTATTACCAGCAGTCTACAGTCCATCTTGAGCAATGGCATGTCCCTCACAGAGACTTTATGTGACAAGCCCAGAAAGACACCTATATTACCAACAACAACAGACTTCCAAAGAGAGATACAGGCCTCCGTAACAAATGTCATAGCAGACCCACATGTCTATTTCGGCCACACTGTTCCAGGACCTAACAAGGTCATCTGCCCCATCCTCGTCCTCCATCATGTCCCCTGCCAGCAATGTCCTCTACCACATTTTGATGCAAAGCTATCAAGTTGGTCTCTATGCAAAAGAATAAAAGAACATAAATAGACACAGTTTTATGATTATTGATGATTAATGCAGAAAGGGCTGAATTGTTCAGTGGCAGATCACGTCCACATAAGACCTCTGCATTTGCCCCTGAATGTGGCAAGTGCTAGGTTGAATGAGAAAATTTTATTAATTTCTAATAATTTATTAATTCTTATTTGTGAATGACTCTGGATAAATCCAAGGAGAGTTGAAAGATGATGCAGTATCGCAGTGAAAATACAGTTAAAGCCAGCCAGGAAGGCTCCTTCTGAAGCTGACGGGAGCCTTTCCATGGCCTTTTATGGCAGCATGGATCTGACCCAAAGCAGCCATTAACATCTGAACTTTTATATATGCTTAGGAAACAGTAATTGATTATATGACCCTTGGAAGCTCTAGTTGCTTTTAAATTACTTTCAGCCAGTAGAGCAGAACTATTTTTCAAGTGCAGAAAGCAGCAACACATTTCAGAAAGAGGTCTGTCGCAATAGTCAAGTTTAGTTTGTTCAGTTCTAATCACTGTGAAGAAACAGAGAAGAAAGCACAGTGCCCCAGCCCCTTTTTTGTGGAAAGGTGAAATATTCTCACATGGATAGGATTTGCCCCTTTTTCTTTAATTTGTTTTTTCATTTCCTGTAGTAGATATATAATTCATAGATTTATTCATTAAAATTGTCCAGATAGGAAGAATTCTTAGCAGTCCATGTTATATACTGTATTTTTCCGTTTATAACATGTCCCTGTTTATAAGACCCCCCCAATTTTCTAATCAAAAATTTAAAAAACTTAGCTTTGAGGATTCAGCCTCTGTGCTCAGAATACTGTTGGACATTAGGAGTCCCTGTTGAATCTGAGCACTGCCTACAGGCTCCATCTCCAACAAGGTGTGTTCCAGTTGGTTTGTTCAGCATCAGCTGACATCAGTTCCATAAGGCTCATGATTAGAGGAAGCTAAGCCTCCTGACTGTAGGAAGCTAAGCCTCCTGACTGAAGGAAGCCTGTTTACAGAGGCAAGGTATGTGCCATTTTGTTCTCTCCTCAGCTGTATCAGCTTACTTCAGTGTATAAGACACCCCTCAATTTTTAGTGTAATGATTTTAGGAAAAAGTAGTGTCTTATACATGGAAAAATACGGTATGTTTTCCACCAATATAGCCATTGGTGAATACTAATGGAAATGGCAGTCCAGCAATTCTTGGAGGGCTACACAATCCACCTTAGGTCGTATCATCCCTTAGGGAATCCCTAGGACTGAAATCAGACAACTTGTTAAGCATGTAGACCCAAGCATTTCATGCAGGTCATTCATTTATTTCTGCAAGGCACTGAGGAGTCTGATAACAACAGTCTGTTGTTAATGGGAGCTGTAGAAGTAAGATGTCATGGCCAGTGCCCGATCAACATCTACCTTCCAGATGCCCAGAAATCAAGTTGAATTAAAATCACTGATTATTTGACAGTCAGGTTGGTTTAAATCACAATTTAAATTTTTTACATTTTATTAAAATTTAAATAGTGAAAACATTGGGGTTTTTTTACATTTAAATTGTGATTTAAATCAACTCCACTCTGCTAGAAATTTTACTTTTTACTTCATCTACCTGCATAAAATTTACTTTTACGCAGGTAGATGAAGCAATGTTGAAACCAGAGACCGCAGAATATATTTTGGGAGACAACAAATCCCAGAACCCCCAACTGGTATGGAGACTGCCCATCTACCTGGAGGGGATTTTCTGAGCTGTGATACAAAAACTCCTGGGAAAGGATGCGGAGAGAGTTCATACATGACATTTTTATGCAAGGAGCTGAAATGGTTTCTTTCTTTCCTGAAAATGTCACGCATGTGCAAGTGTTTCCATCAAAGAGCTGCGATTAGTGGTGACTCTCTGACGAGTTAACATTTGATGGCAAATGCAGTTTGCTTCTGTTTAATACATGGCATGTTCCACTGTGGCCATGGAGAGTGTGACCACCTGGTGAACTGGCGCTCTTTCATGATCCAATGCTGACTTTCAGAACAGGAAGTAGTCTTCCCCCCCCCCGTCACCCTGGACTGATGTCATACTCAGGCTTCTTTGGGGGGAAATCCACAGAAATGCTGAAAAGTATTTTGCTCAATACCATTTTTGACAAGAAAAAAAATTATACTAAATCTTTTTCCAGGTATCCATTTGCGAAACCTCCATTCGTACATAGACGTGCCGTTGAGGTGCAATTGCTGTGACGCAGCCTTCCACGAGCGCTATGCTTTCAGGCAACACAAGAAGACGCACAGAAATGAAAAGAGATTCAAATGTGATCAGTGCAATTATGCATGCAAACAGGTATTTAAGATAGTTGGGGTCCTGAGTGCTGGTTTGATTGGATTAGTAGGGCAGGTATTCTCTTTGATCACCCTGTAAATATTTATTGCAGCAGTCTGCAGTTAAACTCCTGTAAAACATAAAAGTTTGCAAATGTCAGAATGCAAAAACATACATGTTAATATTTGCAGTTTGTGATTAGGTTATTAGAACAGAGATGCTCACCTGTTATTATAACTGAAGATCAGAAACCAATCATCTATAGCCATATGACAGTATCATAATGGATTAATTTCTACCATATTTTCTAAGGCAGGGATCCCCAGCCCCCCGGCCCACGGCCCGGTGCCAGTCCGTGGGCTTCCTTGAACCAGACCACGGACACGGATCTCTGCCCCCCCCTCACACGCATGTACGGTGGGCATGTCGTGCTTGCGGACGGGCGTGTCACACTCGCGGGTGGGCATGTTGTGGTCCCAAAAAGGTTGGGAACCCCTGTTCTAAGGGTTTTGAGAAGGTGCTACAGTTTTGTAGTAAGGCTTAAAGCTCTGAATCATTCAGCCAACTCAGGAGCAGAGAGAGCCAGGGCTGTTTGCCTTCTGCAGGTGGCAAGGGAATGAGTGCAGGATCATGGGGTTTTATGTCTGGTGCAGGTACTGGACTGATTTTTCTAATGACAGAACTACACTTACTGTTCTGTCATTAGAAGAGAAACTTTCTTTGGAGGGGAAGGAAGTCTGTTTATTCTTGCCTCATTCCTCATGTTGCAAATTCGCTTCCTTTGTTTTGTGATTAGTCATTAGGAGTTAAACTGGCTTCATTAGCAAGTCTTAATTGCTCGAGTACAGAGCTTTAAAGGAAGTACATTCCTAAAGGGAAACATGGTAGAAGCAGGAAATATTCATCTTTTTTAAAATCCAATCCCAGTGAAGCTATTTCAGTTCTAAACCAGTGTCTGGAGTCAGTCATGGACTGGATGAAGGCAAACAAACTGAAGCTTAATCGAGACAAGACAGAGGTGCCCCTGGTTATGTGAAAAGGCAGATCAATGAATGGGGATTCAACCTGTGCTAGATGGGGTAGCAATCCCATTTAATATGGGACATTCACATCCTTGGGATGCACCCTCACATTTTAAAATTGAGGGCCAAGAAGAACTTCCTGTGCCCTCTAGGAAGTGGTGGCCAACCCCCACCCCCAGTTTAAAAAAAGTTAGATAGCATACATTTTGGGCCACTAGAGGGCACAAGCGATTTTTTTCAGTGAAAAAAACTGTAAGCAAAATACTAGGAGTGAGTGTCATGAGAGCAGGGGCAACCCTCAGAGGGGCCCATGCATTCCTTGGACCTCTGGAGACTGCCCATCCTTGCGTTCGTGTGTCATTTCACCCTTTGGTCCAATTCAGATGTGGACGCTTATGTGGAGTCGATGGAAATGTGAAGAAGACCAGGTGTTGTCTTCACTGACTTTCTCCCACTGCGTTCAGCTCCATGGACACCATCTTCGCATTGTGGAAGAAGAAGAAGGGCCTGTTCATGGGCACCTCAATATGTGCAGAAGTGCTGCTCCTGGAAGAAGTCATGTGAGCTCAGGCCTGTTCTTATGCCCTACTACAGTGGTGCCCCGCATGATGATGATAATCCGTCCCAGGAAAATCGCTATTTAGAGAAATTGTCGTCATGCAAAAACCCTTTCCCCATTGGAATGCATTGAAACCCGGTTTAATGCGTTTCAGTGGGGAAAATACCTTGTCATCCAGCGAAGATCACCCATAGGGAAGCCATTTTGCGAGCGCCGATCAGCTGTAAAAATGGCTGCCCTGCGAAGCATGGGTCCAGAAAACACAGGGCAGCCATTTTGCAGAGCTGAAAAAAATTGTCATCTTGCAAACAAACAGTTCGCGAAGCACAGACCTAATCGACGTCCAGCAAAAATCCCCCATTGGAATGACTGTTTTGCGAATCGCTATAGTGATCAGAAAAAGTCATCGTCATGTGGATTCGTTGTTTAGTGGGGTCATCGTTTAACAAGGTACCACTGTACTAGGTGTGAAACTGATACGTCAGGGCTGTATTGGAACGGAATCTGTTCGCTCACCGTCCTTTCCAGTCAAATCTCCCATCAGCTGGAATCCTTCCTCCCCCCCCCTTCCCCAAAATACATGAAAGTTGGTGCTTCGTTAGTGGATGACACATTTCCCCATTTCTGTATTTTAAAAAGTATTCAATTTCACTCTCCTGAAAAACATCTTGGTTTAAATATCTAAATTTGTGTTGGGCCAATTCTCCGCAACCTGTTTATTTATTTGCTGATTCTGTATTACTGATGTCGTCAGCAGGCACATGTTCAGCTAAGAAAACTTATTTCTGAGCTTGCTTGTCCATGGTACTCAGATAATGAGATGTATTTGTGTGATCTTTTCAAAAAGGGATTATTTATTTTTGAAGTGCACTTGAACTAAAGCAGGAGTGTTTCACTAATGCTCTTTCTGTTCTCATCTGTGTATACCAAACATGGGCATTGAAATAAAAATAAGACATTGGTGGGCCTGAACTTTCATTTAGTCACCAGAATCTTTTCATCCAATTTCTCCTGTATAATTGCAGCCTTGTGTTTAAAAACACACGGACACAAATACTAATTTCCAGAGAGGGAAATCTACCCCAAAAAATCAAGGGCGCCTTAACCCCCATACACCAGGATGAGACATTTTTCATTCAGTGGAGTTTTGTTATCTAATCTGCACAGAAATAGGCTACAAGGCACTGGGAAAATACCTGTTGATTAGATATGTGAGTGTTAATGTCATGGCGTAAACTGCAGTGATGAATTGCTGCTAGTTGGATCTCCTGTTGCGCACCAACTTACACAACTGGCATGAGTTGATACAGGTGGCGACTTGATAACATATTTATTTCTGCACTTTATGTGATTGCAATTATAGCACCATTGCTAAACCAGAGGATTTTGGTCATTGTAATGTGAGGAGTTGTAAACAAGATCTGTTTTTCAGCCACTTGCGATGCATGGGCTTGTTCAAAAATAGTTGACTTTGTTACAGTCGTCTCTGCTTTTCTCCCCCCCCCCCCCCCCGTTCCCTAGGAACGCCACATGGTGATACACAAGTGGACACACACTGGTGAGAAACCCTTTGTTTGTGTCTCGTGCAGCAAGTGCTTTCGGCAGAAACAGCTTCTGAGAGTTCACTTCAAGAAACACCATGATTCCAGTTTTAAGCCAAAAGTTTATGAATGTCCTAAATGCGGCAAGGAGTATTCACGCTGGGTAAGCGGATTTGCTTCTTAAGGAAACCTCTTGGAGATGCATGTGATATACGTGTGATCCATGCTAGCCTGAACGGTGTATGTCCCAAAGGATCCACAAAGTCTGATGTGGGCTGCAGAATTCGGTGTGTGTTTGTATTTGTGTGTGTATACTGTACTGTATTCTCTCTCTCTCTCTCTCTCTCTCTCTCTCTCTCTCTCTCTCTCTGTGTGTGTGTGTGTGTGTGTGTGTGTATACGTACACATATACTTTATATATTTATGTGTGTATGTGTTCACTAATCTCAATTCATGTCCAGATCAGATGGAGGGGACAGTTATGGGTTCCCAGACAGAGTAGAGTGGTCATGACTGACCAGATAGGCGGGATATAAATAAAATATAAAATAAAATAAAATAAGGGAGGAACAGTAAATAGGTTGTTGAATGATCTTTAGTAGATTAATAAAGGGCTGCAAACCTCAATTAATTTCTACGGGCCCAAGTTTTGAAAAGTTACTTTTGAAGGATGAGTACTCCCGAGAATTTCCTAGCCAGTATCCATGCTGACTGGGGCACTGGACCGAAAAGTTCTGTAGTAATTCCATCACTGTATTAGTTTCAGTGAAGGTTTAGAATAGGTGCATTTATTTATTTTTTTTAAATCATGGAAGATTTTTTTAAAATGTCTCTCTTCAACTTCATGTGATCAAACAGTGAGAAAAGATTGTGTCTGGTCGCATTAGAAAGAGATGCTTTGCTGGAAAGGATCTCCCTTAAAGTGAGTTTTCCCTCTATGTCAGGGTATTTTCCCAATGGATCTCATCCTCACATAGCTACAAAGGCGGTTAACTAAATTGTTTTTGTCCCTCTGTGCTGGCCAGAGTAATATGCATAAGCATGCTGAAAAGTGTGAAGACAGAAGAGCGATTCAGCCCAGCAAAGGAAGCAAGGGGAAAAAGAAAGCTGACAAAAAATCCAGCCATAACATTCAACGAGAAGGTAGTAATTAAGTGGATCTCAGGTGGAGCTGCAGAGCTTGACATGACCAGTGTTCCAGATGTTATGTTTTCAGGTGATAAATAGAACAGATATTGCAACAGCCGAAGCCTGAATCGTGCACAGAGATCGGACCGGCCACCTTTTTGGACTGCAACTTCCAGAAGTCACCAGTTGGAATGGCCCGTGGAAGAGTCTGGGAGTCATAGACCAAAAAAGTATATTTTCTAAGTTCTGTTCTCCATTTCAGTAGTTAGTAAAAAAATACATAGATCTATTTGCTGTCTGAGAAAAGCATATATGGTAAACAAGTTAAATAATTAGTGTTCTGTGTTTCAAGCCTGGAAACAGGTCATTACAAGCCAGGTATGCACATGAGTTCTGATTCTCATTTTATTATTTTCTCATTAAGAATATTGCATCCTTTAATACAAGAGATCTATATCTCTTTCTCCAGCAGAACAGTGTTCATCCCCAAGCAAATTTACTTAACAGTCGAGGCAGCAGAAGCTCTCCATTATACAGCATTTCATAGTCATAAAGGTGCAGTGCTTCAAGTGATTTTTAAAAGGCAAAAATGTACCTATGGCTCATAGTATTCCGCCCTCCCATCCGGTAATCATCGGGGCTGTATTTTATTCTGGCATGTCATGAACTCAGGAGTAATTGGAGAGCATCAGAGGTTGGGTGAGATCAGATAAATGTTAGTATATAGTTCACAGCTGAAGAAAGACAGTGGCCATCAGAAAGGGAAGGGGACTTATAAAACCATTTAGTCCTGGGTCTAAAATTGTGTAATGGCACTAACAAATTCATTGTCTTATCACCCAGCCTTCCACACCAGGTGAACTTCCCCAGCCCCCAACAAGTTGGAAATTAATTAATTAATTAAAATTTAGGTCTGATTTTCCTGCCCAAATAATAAATGGAGCAATGGGCATTGGCCTCAAATGAAGTTACAGTCCCTGAGGCAATGAAGGTTTTTTGTGTGTGTTTGTGTGTGTTTTTGGTTTCCCGCAAAGTCCCGTCTCTCTT